TTTTTTTTTTTAAATCTTTACATCTCCTTCAAGCTGCGCTGCGTCTTGTCCGCTGATGTTAGGTGTAACAGTGCCCTTCAGAGTGATGGTTTTGCTCCCGAAGGTGGTTTTGCTGCTGAAAAGCGGGCTCGAGAGGCGTTCTGTTAACGGCCGTGGCCTGAAAGAGCAGATGGTCCTGCAGTGATGCAGCTGTTAGCAGGGGCTGCGTCTCCCGGAGCCTGTTGAGACAAGCAGCAGCCACACGTGCTCCGCTGCTGGTGCCCGTCAGTTGGGCTGTGTCTCCTGGTGTTTTTATCCCCTGCTTTGCTCACTGCTGTTGTCACCCTCCTTTCCCCTTCCACACACTTTCGTGCACCTGAAAAGGCAATTGCAAGGATAAAAATATAACCCCTACAAAATGGGGAATAAAAATACTCAGACTGAGTGCTTTATGAGGGCAGCACCCAGTCTTGTAGGTGAAGTGACCAAAATCCTCCGACTCTGGATGTTTTGCAGGGCGTTTCTTCACAGTCTGTTAAAGCTGAACATTGGAGAATGGAATAACGGCTTAAGGATGTAATTTTTCTCCTTGTGTGTTTTTCAGTAACATTAGATAATTATTAAGTAGGGTAGTTAATAGTGTAATGATGTTATAAACCCCGCCCCCTCTCCCCCCCACACACACACTGCTGTATACACTTGTAAAGATAACCTACCTGATGGTATAAGTAAGCAAAAGCTAATAGTGTAAAAACTATTAGCAAAACAATGACCATGTTATCTAATGGTAAATTCTTGATTTCAGATTTTCTGCCCTTTGTATGTGATGGCTGTTCGGGAGTCTTTTGGTAGGTTTTGCCATGTTACATGCTCCTACTTTCTGCTAAGTTTTTCTTAGAGTGGAACTTGTATAGAGGTAGATGTTGTCTAAAACACAGTGTGTCTCACAGTGTAGAGGTGTTCAATTAAAAAAAAAAAAGGTTTATTCACTGAACCTGCAGCCTTTCTCCTCAGAGACTGTAGTAGAGGTTTGCAATCTGTGGGAGAATTTCTAGAATACAAATAACTTGTTATGCAAGGGGGCCGAATTAGACTTTTTTTTTTCTTTGTCCTGTCGAAGTGAACAAAGATTTTCCAGGTCTCTCAAATGAAAGCCTGCATTTTGATGAACAATTCAAAACAGCAGCCTTAAGCTTAGGGTGGGTGATTGTCATTTAACATTTCACTTTAGAATGTTAAGAGCCTTCAAGCGAGTTCTGCTGCTGTGGAAAATGCATTTAAAATTTACAGACCAACTTCAGGTGCTTTAAGTTGAATCCTTATACAACCTCATATCCTTGTTTTCTTGCAAGGCTATGTTGAATTCAAGTCTAAGTCCAATGAGCCAAATGTTTTACAAACTCAAGAAAAACATACCTATTAATGAAGTGAAGTCTGTAGGTTAGAACAAACTTTGTAGAAGAATGATTATTTATTTGAAGTGTTGCTATGATAAAAATCTTTCAGATCACTCTTTAAGCATTTATGTTTTTACATGCAGTTTTCTTTTCTTGGCATTTTGGTAATGATGCGATACTTTCTTCTCTTGTCCCTAAGCCTGCAGCACAGAAGCCGGGATGCTCATGGTTGTTCTGAGGTAATCTAATATTAAGAGACTACCATGTAACACATTAGAATACCATTCCACTTAAGTAACTGCCTATTTTGGGATTATACACATGCCATATAGGTATGTAGTCTTCAATGAGAGTGTGACAAGCTTAAAATTAATGTACTGTCTTTCTGTGTGTCAGAAGGAAATCGAGTTGGATTAAGGTGATGTATCTTTTTCTAATTCTGAGCTAAACCTAACCAGAAAAGGAGAAGTAGGAGGGACGAGTTTTGTCTATAAAAATGGAGAGCCAGTGCCATTCTTGTGGGAAGCTGGGCTAGTGACTTTTATCTTTAATATCTGTTTATTTACACATAATATTTCACACTAATTCTTAGGTGAATCTAAGAAATAACTGTGTGAAAACAGATCAGCATGGCTCTTATCCATGCTCGTTTAAGGACTGCAATGGGAAGGAGCTTTTACCAGTTATATGTCCTCACTGTGAAAAACATTTTTGCTTAAGGTGAGTGTGACAGAATGTTGAAACATAAATGTTCTTTCATTACTGTGTTGAAAAGGTCATGGAAGTTTTCCACTATGTTGGTTACAGGCACCGTCATCAATCAGACCATGAATGTGAGAAACTGGACACACCAAAGCCTCGAATGGCTGCCACCCAGCAGCTAGTTCAAAATATTATAGGCAAGTTCAGTGGGATATTTATTTTTTTATTTACTTTTTTGGTACAAAAGGATGGAGGCTTCTTGATTATGTAGCCCTAAGATGTCAGCATGTAATTCCGTTGGTCCAGACTGAGACAAGACAGGAGTAGATGTTTATAAAGAGTATCCTTGAAGACTAAATCAGGTTCGGGTTGCTTTCAGGATGATGTCTCAGTTCTCATTCTACAAATGCTGTAATGTAATAAATGGTAGATAGCAATTGTTAAGCCCTACATACACAGCCCCATGGTTCTGTATCGGGCATACATGCCAATCTGCTGGGATTATGCTAAAGCAATGATGCTGTATTTAAAAGAAGAAGAAGAAGAAAAAAGAATGTGAGTCCACAAATTGATGTTTTCTACCTATAAACTAGGCCTAGTCAGGAAAGAGAATAAACAAGCACTGTCCAGTCTAACTAGATTGGCAGCATGAGGTGAGTGATGGGTACAAGAAAAAAAAGAGTCTGAAATGTTACCACGTGGCCTCTGTGATGGCTACACACATAGAAGCAGTAGGGTTAGGATTCACTGTGTGTTACCTGTGTTGTGCTATTTTGCAGAATCAGTGCAGAGGACCAAACTGCTTAGCAGTTCTGTTAGGACTGTGCACAGTTCCACATACCCTGCAGGAGCTGCACTTAGTGTTGTGGCCTCTGGACTGATATGTTGGGAGATACAATGAGGCGCAGGGGCTGAGTTCACCGTACATTTGGACAAGTTTTAATAGAGTAGGAGGAATTTGGATTCACACTAACAGAAGTAATGTTGTCTCCAGATTCCAAAAAAAGCGAGGAAGCCAAAAGCAAAAGACGGAAAGGAGCGAAAAGCAGCGAAATGGCAGCAAAGGTGGCTCTAATGAAACTGAAAATGCACGCGTGTGGGGATAAGTCGTTGCCTCAGGTCAGTCATACTTGTTTTCAATAACTGACTTATGAAAGGAAAGGAGAAGTTTTCTGCATTTCTTGTTCTTCATTTAGTCCCCTTGCCCTCCTGCTCACGGTTTTAGATTTAATTTTTCAAGTTCATAATAATTTATATGTTGATTTCAACTTCACACCTAGAAGCAGTCTCAAACCTTGTATCTGTTACAAGATGTCTGCATATGGTTTAGAGCAAGCAGGCCAAATTTCCTTATATTTTAGCAGAAGTGTTGCTTGTCACACAGCTGACCTATCTCATAGAGATGCTTTTCCTGATGAGTCCTGAAAGGCTCCTGGCACGTGACACACAACTTGTACAGTCTGTCCCAGGCACAGCTGAGCTGTGTGTTTTATAAATCTACTACTCATATTTAAGAGATAGATAGTCCATTTTTGGATGAGGTGAACCTGAGGTCAGCAGTTGTGCTTTGGCTTGGAAGATGGTCTTGATAATTGCTTATGTTTCAGCCTTTTAATTTATTTGATTCTTGAGATACTTCACAGAATTCCTTATTGTTTCTCACTACATTGGCCACCCATACCAAGAACATCCCCCCCACCACCACCCTCCCAGTCAGGATTATGTTAGTTTGGAAAACACTTATTTCTTTCATCCAGGGTTTCATTTTAGATAAGTACTTGTCCTCTTAAAGGACATGATGAGATTTGACAATGATATTCAGGTTTTAATATGGGGGTTGAAGGATTTTTTTGTTGTTGTTTTTTGGGTTTGGGGGGGTGGGGGTTTGTTTGTTTTTGCTGAAAAAATATTATATATGTCTAGAATTATTTGTTTCTATGAATACTTTTTGCTTGTCTTTCTAGACTGAAAGAATTTACTTTCAAGTATTCTTACCAAAGGGAAGCAAAGAAAAAAGCAAGCCCATGTTCTTTTGCAATAAGTGGAGTATTGGCAAAGTAGTAGATTATGCAGCATCTTTAGCAAGTCTTAAAAATGACAACAACAAATCAACAGCCCAGGTAACTCAGTAATAATAATAAACATATTCCAGTTTGGTATTTCCACCCTCCCCCACTGCCTTTCTTCTTGGATACAGATTAACACCAAGATTTGCCCATGTTACTTATTTTGCAGAAATTGAGATTGTGCCATACTATCTCCGGAGAAGCCTTACCATTTGAGCACACGTTGAAAACATGGCTGTTTGATAAGGAATGCCCATTGTATAATGGTGGAAACGTCATTCTAGAGTATCTTGACAATGAAGTTCTATTTATAGAAGATACGGAATCGTACTTCAGTTAATCAGCAACTTACCAAAAAAACCCCAAAATTTTAAAGACTATGCCACTCCAACCAAGTTCAATTTCTTTTTAAAATCACTGTATATCATAATCTGTCCTCTGTTGCAAAGAAACAGTTCCCATCAATTTTCCAGTTGCACTGCTTGAATTAAATAATGTCCTGGAAACAGAATTAGTTATTATAATAATTAATATAACTGATACTTTCTAGAATAAATCCTTGGTTAATTTAGCTGTATAATATCAGTACCATTCTCTTAACTTTTGTATTTGTAGTATTTTTGTGTAAATGATGGCAAAAGCATGTATTAAGAGCAATAAATAATGAAAATGTAAACTTAAAGTGTATCAGTTCTTTGAAGGTAAAAGCAGCATACACCATTGTAATATTTTTCTGTCATCTATAAGAACAGATTTCTGTGAGTATGGCATGGACAATCCAGCATTCTCCATGCCATAGGTTCACATTTACATTTCTCCTCATATAAGAATAATGACTTTCAGAAGGGAAGGCCTCTGAATTTAAGGTAAATTCAAACAAACATCTCATGTTTTTATAACTTAACATCATTATTTGATTCAGTGGAGAATAAAGAAAAACAGCATGAAAATCTCCTTTTCTAATACAAATGTAAGAGAGGAAGAAATACAGTTTAACTGTAAGCATTCAAGGTCCTGCACTGTCTCCTTCCACAGTCCACAAAATGGACTGTAGTGAACCTAAGTTTTAAAGTGTTTATTGGCAATGATGATACCTAAAGAAGTTGCATCCCTAGTTGCATTACTTTTATAAACCTTCAGTATTAATGATCTTTCCAGTTGCTACAGGGATTTGAAATGCTTTTGGGGAGTCATTAAGAAGATTACTCTCAGTAATTGATGTATTCCAGATTTTTGGATCTCATTTGGATTTCAAAAGTGGATTATAAATTAAAAAGATAGTAAGCATAGCAAGAAAGAACAATGAGCTTATTTTTATCTCAGTTGTAGCTGTTTTGAATTACCATAGCATCAAAGTATGTCATATTGCACACAAATACTAGGATAAGCACTCTCTTCCAGTATAAGCAATTTTAAAAAGCAAGTATAATGAGATAACCCAGCTTCATCTTCCTTGTTTCATTTTAAATCTCTCTCTGCTGTGGCCTTGCGCTACCCCCCCTTTAAGCTTGATGGATAAAAACCTGTTTCACAACTAATTCCTCCTGACACATACTTTGTTTATTTTCATTGCTTGCAAATATTCATACAATGTCCTCCCAGTGGGAGGTATTAATAAGAGTATCCTGTAAGGACAGGAAAGAGTAAGTACAGGCAGCCGTGGAGAGCGCAAACCTGAACGCAGTACCGTGTTCATGCCACTCTGTGGTGCTGCGCCACGTGAATTAGCTCCAGGGGTAGCCCTGGCTGATACTAACGCAGCATTACACAGCAGGGAAGCTACATTTCGTTATATTAACATACATTAATTATGTGATACACCACTACTAAAATGACCTTTAGTCCTCAGATAGGTTGTGGGGGGCACAAATTTCTCCTCCTGTGACTGACTCAGTAATTACTGAGGTGCTGGATAATGTGTCTTTTAGCAAATTTAAACAGAGAAGAGCTGCCTTTCCTTCTTTCTCAGACTACAGGCACTCCCTTAGGTTTTCACAAGACTCCAGCTTGTACCTGCCGTGTGGCTGAATGTATTCAGCAGTGCAAGGCTGTGGGGGACAGCAGGTCTGTGTTACTCAGAGATGTGATGCATTTCAGGGACGCTTTCCTGAGAGAAACTCAGAAACTCTCCTGGAGATGAAGGGTGATGCGATTAGGGAAGATTGCTAGTTCTGTGAGAAATTAAATTTTGGTGTAGAGGAGAGCTGATCATGAAACAGAAGGGAAATAAGACACAAGTAGTGTGTTTCTGCTGAGACCTGCAAATGGAAGTGGACATTGCCCCATAACTGCAGCCACTTGAGCATTCATAAATCTGAATTTGCTGTTTCGGCTCATATTCAGCAATTGCTAATTTTAGGTTCACAATCCAGGTTTTTCTCTAGTACCTCCACTAGAGGGAACAATTCTCCCATGGCCACAATGACGTATTATGGTTTATAACCTAGTTTTGAAAACAGATAATTGTGTGAAAAGAAGAAAAAAAAAAAAAGCATTCATGGGGTAATAAAAAGAAAAGAAGATCACAATGTGAGAGGAGGAGTCTGCCTGGCATCTTTTTCAAAAGATGCTCTTCCTAAGTAGGACAATAATGTGGTCTTTTTGGGGTGGCCCCAAATATTATACATTCCTGTACTGCCAAACATTATGACTCTTGTAGCAATTTAGGAATCTCTGTGTCATATCCTGATTGGACTTGAGAGAAAAGAAAAAAATTGGTGTGTGGCTATCAATTATTCTTACTTTGCTGCTGTACTATTTGGCTACTTGCAACTTTTGCTGCTTTAGCATGACTTAGGTATTGTGATATGATTTTACTGCATGCTATGTAGGTGTCATGAAAAGGACTTACCAGTCATTTGGCTCCAGTTTTCCTTCCAGGGTGGGGGCCCTTAAAGTTTACCTGCCCTACAGCTCTCATCGGGATTGCTCAGGCAATTGAACGGCTGATCTGTTCTCCTTTGTCATATCTGCTGCAAACTGCTGTCAGACACAGGTAACTGGCACGTCTTGATGAACCAGTTATCTCGTGATTTCCGTGGAAAAATGACAAGGCCTTTAGGGCTAAATTGTCATTCTTCAGGTACTACCCGCAGCAGGAGCTTCTGTTGTGCAAGACAGAAGGACAAACCCTCCTTTTGGCTGCCACCTGCAAGGAGAACAAATGACTTATCGTGGCATTTCCCCAACACCCACCTCCTGTTTGCATCAGAAGTTTGCACAGCACGGAGACTTGCCCCTGCATAGCCTCCTGAGAATTTGGTTTTAATTGTATGTTAATGTTGTATACACGGTTAGAATACATACATATTATGTATGTATACATATATATGTATATAGGGTATAAATACATATATAATGATATATACAATACTATAAATATAAAATACTATATATAATAGATAGTATAATGATTGTATGTAGAAACTCAGATTACTCAATTTTCAGAAACTGAGAAGCAAAAACAAATGAAGATAGTCTAACACATAGTCTAACACATAGATAAATAAGGAAGGTGAAAACCCTGTTCTAATCATAGAGAGGGATCCTGGAGAGAAGCAGAAGCAAAAATTTTCCTTGAGCTACTGTACGTTTTCTGGGGATAGAATTACTCCAGGTTTAGCTGTTAGACTCTAGCACATCTCTGCTGACCACATACTTTTTTTTTTTTTGGTTTCTAAAGGTTAGTAGCATAGCACGTTTTCCTAAGGAAAACTAAAAGTGTATCCCAACTGGATTTGAAAACAAGAAACAGTTTGGAGGAGACATTTAACATTCACTTGTAGTAGGTGCTCACTACAGAAATGTAGGCAAAGTTACCCACCTGGGAAGATGAATTTGTCAAGAAACATACTTAATGAATTTACATTCAACTAAGCCATTAAAGTAGATGAAATAAAAGCTTTTATAGTAATTCTAAAATGCACAAGGTGAAGCTTTGCAAGCATTTTATCACTGAGGATGCTGCTGGCAGCAGGTCCTGACTGTATCGGTATCAGTTCAAGTAGTACAAATTGATTCACATATGTAGTTGACTATGTGGATTTCCTTGGCAATGTTACCTGTCAGGTCTGGTAAACAATGTTGTAGCAAACAAGAAATAATATACCATGTTAAAAAAGAACACACTTTTATCAGTTTCCTTTTGCCTGCCTGTTTTAGAAAGAGGGAGAAGTAGGTAATCTGTATTATCTAAAATTTGCGAAATACTTGTTACAACTTGTAAACTGAACACAAAACTGCATGAGTGCTTTATTCTTACTGTGTGAAAAAAATAGGGTCAGTGCTTTACAGAAAAACAATGTAATCATAACAGTCAATCTTGAAAAAAAAGGTGATGCCATTTTTCCCTCTATATCACTTTATTTATAGTAGTATTGCAAAAAGCATTATTTCAATTGAGACATGCCATTGAAAATCTTTGGTAGGAAGCTAGCGGGCTTTTGGGAAATTAATTGAGCTGGATTTACTTATTAAAAATATCAGCCATGTCTCTCATTACTGATTTGAGATCAGCCTAACCAGCAGAATTTAGAAGTTCAAAAGGGGGCTCGTACAGAGGTAAAGAAATGTGGGCGTAAGGAGGAGCAGGGTCTCAAGGCAGGGAGCCAGAAGACATTTCTTCTTGGCGTATTAAGGCATCAGCTTACATACTTATAGTAAATTAACCAGATATAGTACCTTATTTGTCTACAAGCATGCGAAACACAGTTACTAATAAACCAATAATCTAAAATCTAGTATTAAAGCTACCCAATCAGCTTCTTGGCCGCGTAGCAGACGGACAGTTGTTTTTGCTCCTTGTTTTGCTGATAGCACACCTGCACTGCCGTCCTTGAGGCTGGCTGGCTGCTAACGAGACACCCCGTGCCACTGTTAACAAGGCATCCCGTGTAACTATCCTTGAAGCAGGCCTCCACGTCTCCCCCTTTTTATTTAATTACTGTATTGCTATAGCTATTCTGAGTGAGCAGCCATAATTTTGTTAAATGATCAATCAATCAATCATTGAACACACAATAAGAAGCAATGCTAACACTAACAATACACACTAACTAACTATAAAGAAAATACAGTTAGTACAGTGATTCGAAACTTAAGAAGCAAAGTATGGATAATTACTCTCGAGGTAACACTTCCCAGCAGGACACCGGGATCAAACACCCTCCCGAGCTGGCGGATTAGAGGGTTGCTGACTGGTTCCCAACTTGGCACCAGTGCTAGGAGTCTCACCCCGCCTCCCTCCCAGTCTTTTTATGCCCGATGCATCCTGCCACGTAGGGCCAGTACGTGCCAGGAGGCAGTTCGGGGGACGGACAAATTCCGCTTTTCTGCCACACAGCCTT